AAGTATATACAGAAAATTTCTTCTAAGAGTCAAAAAGGGACACACAAATCTTTACTTGAGTGGTTTTTTTCTTTTTAAATGTTAAACTTAGCAAAATAAAAGCCTGTGTTTTCTCCTGTACTATTTAGTTTTGTACATACAGGACCAGTTTTGATGCAAAAGGAACAGTGTATCTTGAGAAAGTTTTGAGTAGATGATTCAATCTTTTTTGACACGGAGCTGTTTTTTGGTAGCCTGTTAGGAACAGAAGTGCCTAGGCAGTGGGAATAGGCAGAGTGGGAATGCCATGCTGTCAGGTTGCCTTCAGAAGCTATGAGCTCAGTGACAGTGGGCTGTAGGGTCAGAATAACTGTGGTGTTTCCTCAGGATGGCTTGGGACTGGCTGGGATCAGGCAGCATCAGCATGGTCAGCTTTGCTTTGGCTGGACACAACTGTGCTTTACAACTCTGTGAGCCCACTCTACTAACAGCTTCACGTTTTGTTAACTCTTCCTTGTGGGGTTTAAAGCTGGTGTCAGAGTTTACCTCCGTGCTGATGCCAGTGATCTTACCGAGTGGAAGGACTGAGGAAAAACCTTGAGACACTGGAATAGCATTTTGTAAGGCTGAGATGCTTTTGTTCAGCTCTTTTGGAATGTGAACGCCTCGACTGTTGTGCAATACTTGTAATTTCTTTAAAAAGCTGTTTTGAAATCTGGACTTTTTTTTTAACATTAGCATGTCTGTTCTGGTTTTTATTTCTCCTCATAAAATTTGGATATACAAAACTGGACTAAAAATTGATTGATTTTAGACAAAATTGGGGGTTTGTTGTTGTTTTGTTTTTTTAAAAAATTTAAAGGGAATGATGCAATAAGACAACTGGCTTTCACGTTAAAGTAATGTTTCTGGTGCAAGGTCAGAAATAAGGTTTTGTGCTTTAGAGTATTTTTTAATGCGCTGATAGGAACTGGCTGAAAGCAGTGCTAACACCATGTTATTTGCTTATTCTGTTTACCTCTTGATAATTTAGGCTAGCAGAGTTCTTTCTAAATAACATACTTGCCTACCAGATTTTTTTTCTTTTTAGTTTAGTTCAGTTGCCTGGAAAAAAGAAAGTTTTTATATTATTTGTTGCCTGCAAGAAAGCTCTGTGTAGATGGTTTTCACAAGAGCAGGAAATAATTTTCACTATGTCAACCATTTGGTGCAGTGAGTACAATGTATTTTAATCAAAGAAGAAACTTGTTTATAGCAATGTGCTGGAATGTTTCTTCCATTGCTTTATGCCTGTTTCTTTATTAGCAGCCTGGCACATGTGAATTTTAGGCCTAAAAGAGCTGACATCATCTTCTTATGTATATTTGATTAAAAGAAAGCAGTATGATGCAACTGTGTGTCTGTGATGTGAGACTGAGTATTCACCTTTAAAACTCATGATAAAATATCATAGTATGAGTTGGTTTAATAGAGAGGATACAAAGGCAATTAATTCTAGTAACACACACAGAGGAAAGGGAAGGATAAACCATGTTATAATAAGAGTCATTGTAAAACAAGGAAGGAATTAAAGTAAGTGTGCTTATTCAGAAAAGCAAACTAAAGCAAAAGCATCATGTCAGATTATTATATTAAGGAAGAGTTCAGCTTTAGCTAGTTAAGAAAATACTGGATGTAGTTATCTTACCCTAAATACTGTCATGCAGTTTAATAATGCTAAATCTCAATGGAGAAAATTTTGTACAAAAATTTTCTGAAATGTGAGGGACAAATTATCATCCTGCAAACTTGTGAAATTCTGTCTTGTCATGTCAAGCTTTTACCATGGTTACTTCTCAATTCAGTTATGCCTGATTGCAGTAAGACTCTAGAACATAGTTCTGTTTTGATTCTTACGAGAGAATTATGTGAAGCATGGATCATGGAGCCCTGGATTGCAATATGCAATTAACTGTTTAGAGCCAGTTGTCCATGTGAGTGCCAGGACTCAAGTGGTATGAGCTTGTGTGGTAGTTTTGTTTGTCTATTCAGACACTTCTTTTCCCATGATCTCTTCTCAAATTTAGAAACAGTTTATTGGTTTTGTCTATTTTTCACCTGTTTGGCAACCTGACATTTTTCAGTTGCAAACAGGATATCAGCAGTGCCCGTGCAATGGCCGTGAGGGGATTGCCTGCCTCTCAAGTCTCTGTACAGCTGGCCAGCTTGTAAGGCATTGTGCCATCTGTTCCTAGGGCTGCCCACTTGGCTTCCCACAGGCCTTGTAGCAGAAAGAGCCTTGTTTGGAGAGCCTCAATGGAGAACAGCTGTGCTTCAAGTGGGCCGGCTGCTAGCAGAATCTTGATGGGGTTTGTGTGACTGATGCAGCTGTGTAGGACTGAACAGTTATCCTGTACAGGGAGAAACTGTACAGTGCACCCCATCAGGTATTCACTGCCTATGCATAAAGTTTTTCCATGATCTTTAATCAGATCTGTTTGAAGTTCCTCCGTGATTGGACCCATCAGCTTTTTCTTTTGTGACTTTTTTTTTAAAAAAACAATATTAGGTGAAATGTTCTCTGTAGATTTGTGCAGTGTTAGTCTTTGAGAATTAATGAATATTCCCTTTTAACTTATGCCAGATGCTTTATATTCTTTGCTGACATCTTTTCTCCTTTTTGTTCTTCTGCTGCTGCTGTGATTATACTGCCCCAGTTAGCACTCCTGGATTCTGTTGTAGCACACAGTGAAAGAGAAAAGGAATAGCAGATGATCACTACCTGCTTACCTCTGCTGATCCAAGCTCACAGAAATTCACTAGTTCACTATAACCTGCTCCATCACACTGTTAGAGCTGCTGCCTAGCTGTCCTAGAACAGAATGACTTACATTTCCTGTCCTCTTTGCAGATTCTGTGCCATTACCGCTGTAAATATCACTGCTGCAGTACTAAAACAGAGATGAGAAATCATAGAAAAACTCAGGAGTGACATTTATATCCTGTAAGGGTATTAAGAATGATAGGGCCATTTTTAGTGCAGATTGGAGTTTTGTGTGAAGGCATTTACCAGCACAGGAGGGGACAAGGGGCTGTGGAGTATGGAACGGGGTCAGTGGTAAGCTGAAAGCACACCCCAATTCTTAGGGACTTGAATTGCTTCTTGGGCTGTCCTTTCATTCTGGCTGTGTCAAAGCACTGCTTTTTCAAATATCCCAGTGAATTCAGAACCTTTGAAATTACAGGCCTGTCTGAAACATGCATGATACTGTTGAAACTGAAAAGTGTATTGTAAGTTATACAACCAAGTTTTACACTCACAGTTGAGGCTTCTCCAGAAATTGACAGTGCAACACTATGGACTATTGAAGAGTTCCCATGTTCTGCTCTCAGTGGCTTTGTTACTGCAGGATTGGCTTACTATGCTTTCACAAAACAAGGCATGTGGGGTTACTCACCTTTCTTAGTACTGAAGTACATAACCACAAGACATGTCTACAAAGCACTATAAAACACTTCCTTCCCTTCCATGCTAAGGTTGTGAATTTTATTATGGTAACATAAAAAAATTCCTCTGTTGAAATGAAAGGAAGTTCTGTAAGTGTGTGTCTTCAGCCCTAGGACTGGAAAGATGGGGATTTGAATTATCACTGGAGCACTTTCTAGCAAGTGTGGCTTGTCAGACCAGGCCTTTAATCCTGAAGCACTTATCAACATGCAGATATTGAAGGGGTACCAGTCAGGCCTGTGATAACAGGGGCAGTGCCATGCATCACTTCCTCCCTGCTGTGGGTTAAAGTGGCTTTGCTGGGATGGTGCTCTGCTCTCCTGTGAGCTGCTGCTTCCTTTCCCCAGCACTCCTGCCCAGCTTTCCCTTGCAGTTGGCATGCATCTTGCTGCTTTTGCCGTCCTGTAGATTTTGTAATGGGGTATGTGTAGGGTCAGGAAGATTGGCCACAGCAGGACCCATTGAGTTTTGAGTGTGGTACTGCAGGAGGCAGCAGTGGGAAGCCATGGGAAGAGAGCAGTGTGAAACCCACCTTCTAGGAAGGGTTAAGACTGAGCTGGAACACTGCTGTTTTCTGTGGGAAGATAAGAAGAGTAATGAACAACCTGTTCATAAATTGCAAAACGAGAGCATATGACAACTGAGTAGAATGGATGTACAGAATATATGGGAAGATCTCAGTAGAATTTGTTGGATCTGGATGTGAATAGACTAGTCCCAGGAACAGCAACAGCATGAGTTCTCTGTTGTGTGTGAACTCAAAATTGCAAGGGTCACGATGCAGCTGCTGTAGGGGAATAGTGATCATTGCTCCGAGGTACTGAAGAGCTTTATGAATCTGTGCCATTATGGAGATGCATCACCATCACCTGAGATGGTGGTGAGGACAGATGTCTCCCAAGGAAATGCTGCAAGGACAGACAGATCATGCAGCAGAGGCAGTCTGACAATCTGTGTGCATCAGAACAAGGAGCCCAGCTCATTCTTCCCAGCTGTGTTCTTGGATCTCTTGTGCTTGTCCAGATCTTCCTTGCTTGTTCAACTGACAGAAAAACGGTCTGACAAAAAAGGGAAAGTTTTAGTACCAATTTAAGGAGCTAAATTACCTCACTGACTTGGGATGAGAGAGAAGGATAATGCATGTGCAAGAGAGATCTGCACTCTCTCCTTCAGTGGCAGAGCAGCAAGTGGTTAAACTGTCTTATTTGTCTGCACCTTACGATCTGATTTTTGAACCTTTGACAGCACAGACGTGATCCACTGAAATATTTAATTTCTTAAACATATAACATGTTCTTCAAGTGTAAGTTCTAAGTATGTTCTAGAATTCATAACAGTGCTTGTGGATACTGTGCCAACAGAGCTGACAGCTGTTTTGAAGGAAATTAATCATTGTATGTATAACTAACCTTGTACATTTAACAGTCAATTGTTGAGCATATCTAGCTTCCTTCATGCCCTTCACTTTCAAATAAAGCATTTGATTGAAAAAAAAAAAAGGAGGGGATTTTCCTATTTTTCATCAGTCATTTCCTTTTTCTTGTAATCTCAGTGAGTCTCTTTGTAGATGTTGAAAAATGATTGTGAAATACTTTCTGTGTAAAACAACCTCAGATGTAATTCGTAGCTTAAAAAATGAAGGACTGTTTAGACTTCCTGGAAAATCCATCTTTTGTGCCCTTTGAATTCCCAGAAAACAGAAAAACTAAGGAACAATGTTTTGGTAATCTGTTCAACAGTTTGAGAGTGTAAAAGACTTACAGTTATGAACGCTAAGAGCTAAAGGATCTAAAAGTTTGGTGGATTTTTATTTTATTATTAATATATACAGTTCTTAAAATATGAGAAGGAAATTAGTGGTTTGAGGAAATTACAGGAAGACAGGATAGAATATATCCTATGTTTATACTGTTAATCCAGTTTATATTTTATATAGAGTTCACTTGTCTGACTAATCTGGCAATTTTAATTTCCTTTGAATAGTTAGAATTTAAGTTTCAAAGAAAAGTCAATATAAAAACCTGTTTCATAGAAGGGGCATTGAGGAAAAGATTTCACTTTGGTCTTGGTGGCCAGAGTTTTCCTACTGATATGCCAAATGGGTCTGAAGTATTTCCAAGTCACTTTGAACCAAAAGGTTATCTGTGCTAGGTTTGAAACCATTCTTCTCATGATGACAAATTCCAGCTGAATCAGACTTGAAGGTTGTTTTTCAGTTTTTGACAGTTCTGGCTACTTGAGTATGCTCATCAACACCCATTGTTTCAATGATTTTTTGACATTCTTGTCACGCTTCAGAATTTTCTGTTCCTAAACCAGGCTGTACATATTTTCTGGTTGAAAATCTAGTGTTGTGTAAAAATACTAAATGAAAGTCTTTTTTCTGTATTTACATTTTTATTTATTTTAAATGCTGAGCATGTTCAACTTTTTATTGAGACACGACTCACTTTTTAACTGTTGGTTGTGCAACAATGACTCAACTACAGAGCTAAAGAAGATGCTGAAGGTATGGAGATATTTTCTAGAGGAAAATGGATCTACAGAATCACGGAATCATTTTGGTTGGGAAAGACCTATGATCTTGACTATGATCAAGTCCAGCCTTTGACTGACCACCACCCAGCTAACTAGACCACAGCACTAAGTGCCATGTCCTGGTGTTAATGAAATGAAGTTATAATGATTTAAGGCTCCCACAGGCCAAATATGGAGCTTAACATTATTTTTGAAGAGGTATCTGAGGAAGGCAGTGTGGCAATCATTACTTTTAGCTATGTGCAAGCAAGATTTGATTTTTGTATGTAGTTTGTTTTTTTTTTCAGGGACAGAGCTGGGAGACTTAAGGTCTCATTTGCAAAGCAGCACCTGAAATTACAAGGGAGAAATGAGAGGACAGAATGAATGATTCAATAAATTACAGCAATTAGGGTTTGAAAGAAAGAAGCAAATCCCCATTTTCTGTGAGTTTGAGGTGTCCCGTATGGCATAATTTGGGAATCATAAGCAAAGAAACAGAATTTCTGCTGACAAAAGTGAGTATTCTGTAGTATAGACTAACTTCACTTTGAAGACTAACTGGAGTGCTTAAAAAACTGTTTACAGAGGATCTGATTTTTACCTTTTGTGGTCTATTATTTTTCAGCTAATATGAGAGAATTCCATTATATCTGTGTGAAACAAGTGATTATTATTATTTTATCTTTATTATAAAAAACCACAAACTATACATAGGAGGATGCAGATGTCATTCTTTCTCGTCAATCCTCTTTACTAAAAAGAGGTGTGAAAAAGCCAGGCTAATCCTTACATGGAACAAGAAAGCATATTCCTTTTCCTTCTGTCTGCTGGGTAGAAAGCCTGGGAGTGTGCTCTGGGGTTAGTAAGAAGTCATTCTGTCAGGACAGTACAAGAAAGCTGCCTGCAGTGGTTCATGTGTTTTCTCAAACTTACATCTCTGTTTTTTTTCCAGGAAGCAATTAGAGTTGGTGTTATGATGCTGAACACCAGTGGCGAACTTCACAAAGTACAGGTTTGTCCGGTTTTTCTATTTATTCAGTGGATTAATGTGCAACAAAACAAAGTCCGCAGCAGCTGCAAGTATGGCCTTTATTCTGACATCAGTCAGTATGGAGTGTGTTCCTCTGACAGCAGAATTGCAGCACAGGGGCTGCAGGAAACAGACACTCATTCTGGCTGTCTTTCTTTCAGGTTCTTTTTAACATCACCTATGTTAATGGACAGGTATATCTAAATGACTTTCCTATGAAAAGCGGGGTTGCCCACATAACATGCCAAACAGTAATATGTGAGTATTTTCTTTTTTATTTTTTAATTTTTTTTTTTTCTCCTTCCCATGGGGTGTTTGGCTTCCCTGTTGTCTAGTAACCAAAGCTTACAATGACTGTGTGTTCTGTATTTTGTAAACCAGAGCATTGTGGAAGTAAAACATTTCCCAAGGTAGGACAATTTTGGTATTAAAATGGATCAAAAAAATCTTGCTGCCTTCATATCAAGTCACATTAACACATTGTGTGTAAATGGTCTAATCAGAATCCAGACTCTGCCCATCTTTTCAAAAGCATGTTTTGCAGTACAAGCTAGACAATGTAAACAGAAGGATGCGACTCCACCCTGCTAATGGCTGTGTCCCTAGGTTAGTTGGCATATATCCAGAAGGAGATTCAATAACAAAAGTATGAATTGTTGTTAGGAAGATCTTTTAATGATATCACTTCTGTAACTATTGGACAAACAAGTTTCTGCTGGGTAGGATATTATAGTACAAATATTGCACTTTAATAACTGCAGTAGTTAATGACTTCAAATTGTCTTGAACCTGCTGTTTTTCCACTGATTCAGTGCTACATATTTTGTGAAAAAACAAAAAGTACTGTGTGATTTTTTGGAGATCCACAGAGCATACTGTATAATTAATTAAACAAGGACCATTAGGCTTATTTGATTTAAGCCTTTGTTGTATTGAGAACAGTTTTCTGCTGCATGAGATACAGTCAGTTGATATCTGAGGTCATCCTCGTCAGGCACTTACAGAATACTAACACTTTTTCAAATTGCTTCTCTGAGCTCTGACCTTGTTGCTTGAACCCTTCTTTTCCAAGCATGATCAATTATTAATTTGTCAATATTTCTTTTCTGGAAAGAGAGACCAGTAATCACATGCTCTTTTTCTGGTACAAAACCATGGCAATATGTCATTTACTTGCAAAATAACTCACTCCAGAAAAATAGATATGATTTTATTGACTAATTCTGAGAGCTCCTGAGCACTCTTCTGTAGTTCCTATTAATTTTCCAAATCGTAGTTGTAGCACTTGCTGTGACTAGTTTTGAATCTGAAACAGTGAGGAAAATACTGATTTGACTTGGGAGCTAGAAACCTGAAGCTCTTTACCTCCATGTTTGCGTCTGAGTCTCCAGCACAGTACCTCTCTCTTAACTGTAAGGTAATGTTTATACTATTTACTTACTAAATTATTGACAACAGATTCAGGTAGTGTTTGTAAAATGCTAAAGAAATATCAAGATACTTTTTAGTAGAGGGGGGAAATACTCCTGAGTGTATATAAAAACAAAACTTGACCTTAATAATCATGCTTTTGAATATTGGAGACCGCTCTGACATCATTGTCAGATCATTCTTGGCACCTACATCCCCACTTGAAGTTCCCCCAGATGTCAGTTTTAGAAGTGTGTGTGTCACTCCTGTGAATGTAGTGGTGGCTGAACAGCCTGACACATGGTAAAAGCTGGGAACACAGGGAGCTTCAGCTGCTTGGCATCTTAGAGGCTTTGGGCCTTTAGTGCATGCTTGCTGCTCCAAGTCAGAAAATATTCAGCAACCAGGTCGGTGCCCTGGCTCACACCTGTAGGGAACTTTCCTTCTGCTACTTATTTTGGCAATGGAAGGCATTACTAAATTATACCAGAAAGTATTTTTCTATATTTTAAATAAGAAAAATGGCTTTATGAGGACAGGGATCACAGCATAAAAGTAGTGGACACACTGAGTAGTTGCTGTGTGACTGAGAGACCCAGGTTGAGCCTTATCCCACATTACCTGACAGGCTCAGATCTGCAAGTGACACACACACAGCACCAGTGGCTTAGCAGCAGGGATGGTTTGGTCTCAGTTCGTGTCCCATGGTATCTGCATGCTGGAGAGATCTCCCACCTCCGCTCTTGTGCTTCTCCAGACTTCAGTTCTAGCATGCCCTCACCTGAAGCAGAGGTGTGGTAGCTGGGAGAAGGATACTAAGACTATCCACAATCAGCCAGGGTAGAAAGGCAGTTCCATGTGTACTTGTAGAATATTAAGTTGTTGAAAGAGCTGAAAGCTTTTGGGTAGGAAGAGAGGTGGAGGTGTCACCAGTCACATATGAAAACAGAGAGGGGGACAGAAAAATACGTAGGAGGGAACTGGCACTCAACTTGAGCAGGAGATGCAGTGTGCCTGGAAAAGACCATATTTGTTTCTGTATTCAGAGGAAGGGAAACGTTGTGCAAACCAAGATGTTTATTTACATAGGTGGCTGGCTAGGCTGTGACATTACTCTTATGAACTCCTTTGGACAACTGAAATAAGAATGCAGCAATAACCAAGCCAAAGAGCTCTGCTCACAGTGCTTAAATGCAAACCTCAAAGGCAGAGATGTGACATTGTTTGCAGGCTCCCTGAGTCAGGGGACTGTACGGCTCTGCTGTGTTATGAGGCCTGCTCTGGGTCTGATTTGGAGATATACTGGTAAGAAATCATGGCACCTGTTTTAGCTGTTGCCCAGATTACTACTGGTTGTAAAAGCAGTTACTGGAAGTGTTAAGATGTTCTGTACTGTTGTTCTGGCATCTCTGGCTTGATGCTAGTGGTACTCCTCCATTCAGGTGCTGCACGTGCAAAGGCAGCTGTGTCGGAGTTGCACCTGTTTTCTCTATGGCTGGGTACTGCTTTCTGGTTGAGGTGGTTTCTCCTTGAAAATCATGACATTGTGTGTTAACAGTGGAGAACAGAAGCTTGGATAACTTACTGGATCAGCAGCAGCTGGGAACCGTCAGTGTTCGAATCATGGTTCACGAGTGGCCTTTGTCATCCACGTCTGATTTGCAGCTGATTGTCATTCAGGAAGAAGTGACAGAAGTTGATGGAAAACAGGTAAAAAAAAGCCCTGCTACAATATTCTGCTTTTGTTTTTAATTTAGGAGAGGCAAGTCGTTCCCAGGGCTTACCAGGTTTACATATATCCGGCTGGTGATTAGAACATAAACGATATAATTAATGTTAACTAACACAGTACTGAGGGAGACAGCAGCAAAGTTGGCAGCATAATAGTGGGGGTGTCTCAAGAGGAAACTTCAAGTTTTAATGCTTCTTTTCATATTATAATAATTATCATTAACTATATCACATGCACTTCGAATAAGTGAACTTGTGCAAGCAAAGCCAGACTCACAAGCAAGAGTTGATTAATAAAATAATACACAAAATGAACAAAAGGGGCACGGGCTCATTCTGCTTCTTGAGGTTTTCCCCATTGTTTATTCCAAGCTAACCAAAGGTTTCCAGCAGGTAGCATGGGGAACAGCTTGCAGCAGGAAACTCTTATGGCACGTGGGCTTACTGTGAAAGCCCACTACACCTGAGAGCTTAGTCTTAGAAGACTTTCCATGTAAGATAATTTGAATCTTGATAATGAACATGGATTTTGAGATGAACAAGCATCTCCACCCCTCTGATCCTAACTGTATTTGCACAAATAGCAGTCAATGTGAGGGGTTGCAGCTGAGGTTGAAATGTGCAGAACTGAGTTCTCAAAATCACCTGCGTATGGTGTAGTTGATTTACTAACTAAAGAGGTTCTGTGGAAAAGATCCAGCTGTTCAAGCCAGAAACTGTCATATTTCTGCTTCTGTACCTCTGCATCTTACATGTGGCCAGGCTTTTTTGAAGCTGGCTTGTGTTCTGCTGCCTTTTTCTTTTTTTTAAGGATAGCATTCATAATGCCTTGATTAATTGCATGGTCAGCATGTAGTAGTTTTTACACGGATCTGTATCATGTCAGAATCTGAGTCTGTTAGTGAAAAGCCCCACTGAGAGGTCTGTAGCTTTTCCAATGAGGTCTTTATCCCACTGATAATAGCCTAAGAATTGTGGTTTCACTTGTTACACAACAGTGGCATTGTATTTCAGGCCTCAAAGTAGACACCACAATGCATTTCAGATTTTCATAGGGACCTAGTAAAAACAACCAGAAAGCTAATGCTGTTTCCTTGATTGTTCCTTTTAAGTCAAAAGCAATCTCACATAAGCACAGCAGAGGATCAGAATCACCTCCCTCAACCTTCTGGCCACTCTGCTTTTGCTGCAGCCCCAGGACAGAGTTTGCGTTCTGGAATGTGAGTGCACATTCCTAGGTCATGTTGAGCTTTTCATCTGCCAACACTCTCAAGTCCTTTTCTCTAAGGCTGCTTTTTATCCATTCACTGCCCAGCCTGCACTTGTGCTTGGCACTGTCCCAACCCAGGTACAGCACCTTGCACTTGGCCTTGCTGAACTTCGTGAGGGGTTCACCCCTCAAGCCTGTTCAGCTCCTTCTGGGTGGCATCTCTTCCCTTCAGCAGGTTGACCACACGGTGTCATCAGCAAACTAACTGAGGGTGCACTCAGTCTCACTGTCCGTGGTGCCAGCAGAGTTGTTAAACAGGAGCAGTGCAAATACCCATCCCTGAGGACACCACTTGTTACTGATGTCCATTTGGATATTGAGCCATTGGCAGCAACTTCCTAGAGTGCAAGCACCCAGCCAATGCCATATCCACTCCCAAGTCCATCTGTCTCTTGGTTGGAGACAAGGGTTTCAAATAGGACACTGTCAAATGCTGCAACACTTGGCTTTCAGTTGTTGAAAACAAGCAATGTTCCTGCAAAACCAGAAATGTCAGCCTTGCCTCAGCAAGAATTTTGATGTTTGCAAGTGCTTTCACTACGTACGTGAGCTTTCCATGCCCTAAAATGCCTCCCTGCAAGAGTATAGTGATGTACCATGTAAGACTTGGTTAAAAGCCCATGGATTGACTACCATGTGCTTTTGCAGGAAGCAAGACCCAGTCTGTTCAGCATACTTTCTCATGTGGTATGGTCTACAGAAGTGTGACAGGTGAAAACAAAGAATACCAGTTCATGTTATAACAGCTCTATGTGTACATCTTAGTGGCCTGGAGTTTTCTGGGATGTACTGTTGTCCTCTGCCAGGCTGCTTCAGTCTTGCTTTAAGCTCAGTAATACCATGTTTGCATCTTTTGTAGGTTCAGCAGGAAGAAGTAACAGAAATAGATATTTTAGTAAAGGACCTGAGAGTACTTAGACATTCCAACTACACCGTCCCTTTGAAAGAGAGCATGCTGTACTCCTTGCCAAGGGACAACGACGTGTTATTTACACTGCCCAACCTCTCAGGAAAAGGTATCGCTCAGCTGTTCAGTAGCATTTTCATCCATATTCAATGTATTGCTTTACAGGCTAAGAGAACATTGTTTATCCCTTGTTCTACATAGTGAAAGAATTTCTTCATTAACAGGGACAGGTTTTGTTTTATATGTCTTGGTTTTTATTTTTTTTAAATACCTAAATTCAGCTCTTCATATTAGGTATTTTATTTGTTTGATTTCAAATCTATTCTCCTTTGAAGTACTTGATACTTGGCAGTCTGCAATGCAGACATCTGACAGGAGTAAATTTCTCTCTCAGATCTGCAATGGAAGTTTCTCTACAGCTCCCCCTTCTTCCTGGGAATGAAAAAGAAAACTGTAGAGGAAATATCTGTCTGGGTCAATTCCAAACCACAGAACAGTTTTCTGTTATTAAACTTGAATAACTTAAAAGCAATAGAAGTTACTCAATGCCTTAATTTTATTTCAGTTTTGTTTAATCAAAAACTGTCAAGGATTTAATTGGAGTAGAATATTTTAATCTATTCCATCACCTTTTAAACTTATGACAGCTGAAATTTACAGCTAAGGGCATAGCTAAAGGCTGCACTGTTTCTGCTTCTTACCAAGTTCACCGCTCAAGTCAAAAAAAAGCCTTCTGTGTTCTTGCTGATAACTGTACCCTCTGCAGAGAAACACAGCATGTCTTTATTGTCCTTTAGAGTGAGTCAAACAAAAAGCAAACTCTGCCCTAAATCTAGCTCTTCTTCTTCAGATATTCAAGATCCACTGCAGACTACCAGTCAGTACCTCATCCAGCAAGTAGAAACTACAGTGGATGAAGAGACATTACCTGGCAAGTTACCAGAGACCCCTCTTAGGATAGAACCTCCATCTTCTTACAAGGTGCTTTTACTATTTGTTTAATTGTTTTAATTATTAGTATATAAATACAGTTGTTTAAAAACAGACAACCACTAAGACCAATGGATTTTTGCAGATAATCCCCAAATAAACCGAAAAATGCCCCCTCCTAAATGACCATTCAGCAGTGACAAGTCCAGTAGGAATCCATTGGGCTTCTAAATATTGCCATGTTCTGACCACACAGATACTTCATGATAGTCAGTTGTGACATTTACATTATACCGAGCTAATAATTTATGACAATTTCAAATATTGCTTAGCTTTAAATTCCACCATTTTCTCCTGACTCTGCCCAAGTGCATACCCCTGAGAAGTAGACCACTGGTCTCAGCTGTAGGAAACACAGTAACAGCTGGAGAGCTGGAGAGTTCAGTTCCAGCTTAGGCAAGGATGGGTTTCATGGGCTCCTCTGTAGCCATAACGCTCACAGTTGCAACCCACTGTCTGCTCTGTCCAAGTGTCCTTTATTTTCCAAAGGGCCTTTAATAAACAGAGAACTAAATGTTCACCTGTTTCAGACTTGGCTGAGCCACCAGTCAATTCCATCATGCTTTTATGTACGTTTAAGTAAAATTATCACCATCTAATGTGATTTACTAGTAGCTAAAAAAAAAACAAAAGCCAGCAGTTGCTTTGTTTTGCAATCTTTGTATTTTTACCTGTTTTGTAGGTGATGTGCCAGTGGGTGGAAGACTTGAGAAAAGGGTTGTGCAGATTCTGGTTTCAATCTCTACCTATCTTGTTTAGTTTCATGGAAGTTGTTGTTGTTGGAGTTGTTGGAGCATCTCTTATTATCAAAGTCTTAAAGCTGATTCTCCCTTCCTGTGAAAATAAGTAAGTAATTTTTGTAATTCTTTTTTTTTTGCTTTGATGAAGGCAAAATATTGACTAAAAGAATCTTCCAAGAAGCAGGCTCATACTGTAGGATAGTTGTAGCAAGAATTCAGTGAGAAAGCTACTGGTAACTTTCCATTCCAAGTGCACCTCTGACACACAGGCATTTCAGAGAGACATGGAAAAGTACTTCATTGGAAATATCTTTAGCTGAGCTGTCATACTGCCAAATTTTTATCAAGCCTTCGAAGGACTACATTGTGAGATGCCATTAACATAATTCCAAGAAAGGAGGGTGGAAACTAGGTCTAAATAATTCCAGTATCTCCTAATCTTTTCATACTCCTACTGTGTTGGAGTTTTACAGTAGTTCTGAAAGGCCTCAAATTTGGCTTTGCAAATTTGCATGGGAGTTCTCCAAGGGGGGGGACCTACCTCTGTAGGCAGCTTCCAAGCCATAGTGACTGCTGCTGGCATAGGTGGCAGGAGGTCCCAAATAAAGCTGATTGCCTGCAAGGGCTGTATCCAGTCGCTATGTTAACAGCAACACTAACATTTTTAGGGAAAGCAAGGTCTCAGAGCAAGGGGCAGAAAGATGAATTAGTAACTGCAGGTTATAAATCAGTGTAGATTTAGTGCTGGAATGGGTAAGCACGTGCACTTTAAAGCAACCTAAGTCAGCTCTGGAAGAGCTGTCCCTTGGAACTCCATATTCTTTGGGAAGTGACTGACAGTGCAGCATGCTTCATCAGCCCCGAGCACAGCTGATGTCTTCAAATGCAGCTGATCAGCTGTGCCTCTGAATGGCCCTGCATGCAGTTTATTTATGTATCCACTCAGGGGTACAGGTGTTCTTGGTCCTTCTGATAAACCAGGAAAATGGAGGGTAGAAGATCAGGAAGGTTGGAAACTGCAGTGACAAAAGAGGCAGTGCTTCCCCTGGCATTTCACACAGCGTGCTGTCAGATGGGAGGGGGTTCCCCTGGTTAGAGTAGAAGGAGTGGAGAAACACTTTGTACTTTCCCCAGCAGTAAGCAGATTACCACTGGCAGTAAGTAGTTTAACACTGCCATGTATGAAACTGAACTAACTGGAACTGGGAAGAGAATTCTAATCCCAACAAACTGTTCAGCAAAGTGGATGATAACCTGTCCATAGCAGAGGTCAGTATGGAGCAGGGGAACCAGCTTGCAGTAATTTCTATTCCAGTTGAGGAACATGGGGATTGCTCATGCCTTGTTAAGAGTGTATAAAGAAACTGAACCACCCCCTCCATTAGAAAAAAACAACAAACTAAACCTCCAACAAAACAACCCCTAAACCACATAGTTATTTTCTTGCTACCTGTGTAAAGTGGTCCTCTAAAAAAGGGTAAAGGTTTAACTCAGGATTGTAAACCAGTAAGAATGAGCAGAACATCTCATCTGGTGCATGACAGTTGCAGACATGAGCTGGGACCTCATCCCAAGTCTTCAAAGCCATTCTATGTTACACTGATAAAACTGGAGGCTGTTGCTGGGTCCAGGAGAATCAGCTGTAGGTCCTGACAGCAAACAGTTTTAGGCTACTATGAAACTGAGCAGCTAGAGCCTACACTGCTGACATTTCAGATGTAGAAACTGGGCAAAGGGAGCCCTCAGAAACCACAGCCACTACATTTTGGAAGCATTTTTCATTGCAACTTCAGATAAGAGATATTATGAGGGTAGTACTTGGTTGATGCATTGATTTAAACTAAGTTTGGGGAGTTAAAGAATAAGTCCAATTTTTAGAACACAGAATTGTTTTGTGTATTGTTTTTTAATGCCAGGTAACCTTACCTTTCAGAGGCATCCTTCTCCTGGATCAAGTCAGCTTTGTACCTGTGACTACCATCAGCCTGCCTTCAGACCTTTCAGACAGGAAAAATAATTTAGATGAGAAAGCATGTACTTAATGCTGTATTTACTTTGGAGTTACTGGTTTCTAAAACACACACTTTTAGTTGATCTGGTATTTGGCACCTGATCTTAATACCTTGTTTTTGTCCTACTAAGAAAACTAAGTCAGTTGATTAATTGATAAACGGCCACTCAGGCCAAGGCCCAAAGCTGACTTCCTTGTGCCTCTCCATAAACAAGCAGCCTTTTCAGAAGCTTCAAAGTAGAACAGCTGTCTTTTCAGAGGTTTCAAAACAGAGCAGCTTTCCACCCTGAGGACTACCATTGGTTTTAACTTCTGTGAAGTCACTTTTCCACACCTCAGACAGGATGCTGGCTGCCTTCATGCCCATAAACCAAGTCAGCTGTCCTGACTAATAAGATCATGAAATTCAGGGTGTCCTTAAGTCCAGTGATAGCATTCTTTTTAAAAAATATGAAGAAATATTGCAAACATCAGCTGTGCCTGCAAACCTAAGCAAAGCTACCCCACCTGGTTCCAGGTCTCATAGGGTTGAGCATGTCTTGCAAGGAAGATACCACTACCAAACATTTGTGTTACTCAAAAGATCTGACACTTTATATATGCAAAACAAAAATTTGAACGGAAGATTTATATTTCAAGCACTTTACATTTTTATGGCCCCTTCCACTCATAAAAACTGTTAGCAGTTGTAACCAGCTTGCTTTTTGTATCTGTGACAGCAGTACTCTATGTAAAGTCCCAGAAGAAAAATGAAAATTCCATTAAATTCTACAGAAATACTGGCTTACTATTGCTGAGTAGGCCCAGTCTGCTCATGCCAGTTTGTACTGTTAACATTTTTCAAATAAACATTTAAATTGTTTATTAGACTGTGTTCATGTGCTTTTATATTTACGTAAAACAGCAGTTTGCCAAACATTTCAGACTCAGGACACTGTCTGTTTCTTAGCTTTTCATTGTTCTTAGAAAAATTATTTGTCAAAAGAATGAATAGGAAATAAAATCTCAGAACTGTAACTACCTGACACTAGACTGAGCACAGTTATCTTCTGAGTGATCAGAATTACCTGTGTTCAGCTGGAGTTGTTAGAGTGAGGGAGAAAAGCTGGATTCTCCCCTCCTCCTGCTCTAAGGAAACATCATGTGCTTAATGAGATCCAGGCTACTCAGATGCTGGTCTGTGACAGGAACAGCTCTCATTGTCTCACTGAGCTGACAGCACTGCAGTGATAAAAGGAACATTTCTAACACCAACTTGGCCTTGTAAAAAAAACAAGCCAAACTTCACCACCCAGCAGTGCAGTGTGGTACACACCACACCAGCTCAAAGTAACAGGGACACTGCTCAAACTTCCCTTTTTTTTGTTCTAGTACCTTGTGGGTGGCAGAGGGAGTGTCACCCATGGCTGAACAGGAAACTGCTAGGATTAGCACAGGAGTGGTGACTGCACAAAGAGCAAGTACTCAAACAGGTGTAGACAAACTTGTCCGTGCATGGATATTGCCTGGCCCCTCCATTTGCATAGTCCAATAAGAAGTGATGCACAAAGCTGAAGTTAGCTTCTTCTGGGGGAAAAAAAATAGGATGGACAAGAGACACAATAGTTCTCCCTTAGTGCACAAACACAGTAGGAATTATGCTGCAGATGGAAACTTGGCAGCTGTCTGCATGTGCTCTTTGCATCCCTCCTTATGAAACTGGAAACCCAGCACCTGCAACAGCCACAGGGAGATTAGCTGCTCTAAACAGCTGCAGCAAATGCATGGCTAAGCCTGAAAGTGCTGGTACTGCTTGAAAACTTGGCTGATTTCTGTAGTTACAGCAGGAAAGAAGTATCACAATCAGGTTAATGGAATTCAAAAAAGAGTGCAAGTCTTGAACACAGTAACTGCCAGACAGTTTCTGCTGCCTTTTAGAGCTGAAGTTATCAAGTCTTTAAAAAGTTAAAACTTTTGTGTTTCTGCTTTAGCATGCACATAATCTTCCCAAATCACAAGTCTCATGCCTTTCAGAGGAGTGCTACTCTGAGCTGGCACCACTCTGAACTATTTTGTAAATTGATTAAAAAACCACCTCAGCCAACTAAGACAGTAAGGAAAGGGCAACTGTCCTGCATGCCAGGTCTCATTTTTCCAGGACGTGAACTGGTGTGCCCTCTAGGGGAAGGTATGTGGGGGGACTGGGAACTGGAAAGAAAAAAAAAAAACAAACAAAAAACAAACCATCAAAATCCTCACTCCCAAAAAAATCCCTGGTGGGATAGTGGTAGGTTGCTAGAAACAGCAACATCATCTCCTCACAAGCACCACACTGCAGCCCTTCCTGCCCTCAGAACTGTGCATCACCACGTTGTGTGCTCCAAACCAAAATGAACCTCTGAGCTACAAATTCAGCCTCTATCACCTTTTCCTTCCTATACTGTGCATTAGAGATGTTAATTTTGTTCAGTCAGGGTGAACCGGGCTGGTTGACTACTAAAGTACTGCTTTTAAGTTGAGGTTTACTTTAGGAGTTCTCAAAATATATCACACTTAGTCTAAGTGGCCCCTTAATGGACTGCTGCCAAGGTCCAAAGTTTGCTTACCCTCCCTTCTTATGTGGGAGACAGATCAAGTACTCTGGTTTGTTTGCAGTGAATTAGGAGAAGAAACCTGCAACAACACCTGGCAGCTACACTCTCATCCTTACACACAAACAGAAAGATAAGTATTAAGAGCACTCACATTTTCAAAATATTACACATTTTAATTAACTGACACATAAAACTATCCGAAAATTGTAAATTTGTTTTCCATTCTGGAAACGGAAGTCTATAAATGTGCACACCTGTATACTTACCTCAACATTTTTCTTGCATTTCTGGGTTCTTCATGCCAGGTCCACCCAGGGATTCAGGAGCTCTCACAAGATCTCAATGTCTAACTTGAGCCTCCACTGCCAGAAGTCCCTATTCAGCGTGTCCAGCTGTCACTCACACCATAGCAATGAATTTCAGGCACATGAACAAGATGCTCACAATAATGTCATTTACACAGCTGTGTCTTTGAGATGCACTTGCCTCCTACTCAGACTGCAACTCTGCATTACCATTATGAACGGGAATTCCACAGCCAGCTTTATACAGCATGTTATCTACCAGCTGGAACAAGTCCAGACCTATTTGGTTCATGAAAAATAATGAAGTTTACCCATAAGCAGAGCTACAGCTGGCTGCACTGGGAGCAGCTAGCAAGAAGAAGTGTTTCCCAAACAGTAGTAGATGGATAGAAATTAAAGGTGCTTTAGTTACAATTTACCACTGTTCAGCAAAATCTAAAATTATTACCCGGATGGTTAATGCAGACTCAGATAGTAAGTGGCATGTAGAAGCAGTTAAGTAATGAAAAATGAGAATTTAGATTTTATGCCAATTGTATAGTCAGGGTTGTAAACTGAGTACAAACACAACACATGCTGCCTTACCAGAATAACCCTGTAAAGCAGGACCCAACTCACCAGTCTGTTTTGCTGCTTGCAGACAGTCAAGGGAAAAAGAACTACTGCAGAATTAATGCCAGAAGGCTTTTGATTTCTCAGACTAACAAGGAAACTACACATGTGACAGCATCACTGCTGGCTGTACAGAATTAGTTTACACCAGCTGGACGTATTTCAATATTATTTAACAGCTACCGTAAACCCGTGATGATCTTAACCTCTTGCTCAAACTTCACTAACTTTATTGACTATTCCAGCACGAGGGTGGCTGTTCCACATCTCAGCCTTTGCACAGGTTCTTTAACAATTGTTTAAAGGTAGAATTCTCTAAGATTTAAAACTACCTGTGTAACTGCATCTTGTTTGTCCCGTTTTCAAGTTCTCAGCACCCCTGACTCACTTAGCAGGGGTAGCTTACAGGGTTCATTGACACAAAAGCAATTTTTCAACAGTACCAACTGATGAAAAGAGTTCTAGTATTAAAGTAATTTTAAAATTTTGAAAATCAAATCAGTGACTTCTGAGCTAGTTCAAAGACAGCTATGCAGAACTTGCATTTAAAAAAAATTTATTTAGACATCTGTTGCTCTTAAATTACAAAAGTTAAAAAGAGCACGCAGTGCACTGACACATCACCCATTACTTCTAAAGCTGTTTTAAGACATAAGGTGGTTTCTTCAAGAGAACACAACTCAACAGGATCCAAACTCAACTATCCATTTCTCGTATTTCTCAATGTCCGCAGCAGAAACAGATTTAGAAACTTTCTTCAAAGCTATTTCGAAGTCTTCCATAGTTGTTGGCATGTGCATTTCATCTCGGGGAAGATTTCTGATTTCTTCTGGGGTCAAGCCTTCAATACGCCTCCTCATAGCCATCAGTGATGCATCTCTAGTCAGGAGGGTAAGAAAATAAAATCATTACTCAGTGCAGGATGCTGAGTTCAGTTGTTTGAAAGGCTCAACACGGCATTCCAGTTAAGCTGCTGCATTCAAAGAGATTCAATAAAGAACTGTCAACTTTTACGGGGAGATCTCCAAGTGCTTGTACAAGCCACAATCCCATGTTATCCATATTTTTCAAACATGGCATTATCCTCACTGGATATCTGAACAGCTACTATTCATAGGCTAGGCAAAAGAGGTAAAGACAAACTAGTTTAGCTGATGTCACTGCATGCCTATGATGTAGCTGCTGTTTATAGTATTTTTAAACAGGAACACTGCAATAACAATTTCACTCCTCCTAGATATAGAAGGAGTAGCTGAAGTGTTTTGAATGTTTTCTGGTTTGAACAGTAATCCCACTTCAAAGACAGAGGAGTCAACAGTATCCACCTCCAACCTGTACACTCAAGAGCTAAATGTTAAATAACAAAATCTGTTCTGTCTGTAGCTCCTCAAACTTCTGCCCTTAATGAGCACTGAGTGCTTTTACAAGTGTGTCATTTTCTTTAGTGTTAGGTTTGACTACTTTTAGATTTCCAGCAGTAAATCTCGTAGCAGCAGGTGACGAGCTGGCAAGGTGATAATTAGGTAACACTGGAAGGCTGAAGTTCCTGCTAATTCATTGTTATAGATCTTATAATAACAAGAAAATGCTGTTAATCTGTCTAGCAGTAAAAAAGATTGAATCTTTTAATCTCGGTGATATCACAGTAGTAAATTGTGTCATATCAGAAGGTGAGATTCTAAAGAGAGCAAAACTTACACATTGCCTTCCAGAAGGATTTAGAAAAATGGTTTGAGCATGTTCTGTTTCAGTACCATCCCCTCTCGCTAAAGGAAACCATAACTGTCAGACTTCAGGAATTTACTAAATTCACAGAATCACAGAATATTCCAAGATGGAAGGGACCCCCAAGGATCATCAAGTCAAACTCTTGAATGAATGGCCTGTACAGGAACTGAACCCACAACCTTGATATTATTAGCACCATGCTCTGTCTAACTGAGCTAATCTCAGTGTTAATTAATAAATTAAAATCTCTTAATACAGGAACTAAAATTTTAGAACAACCAAAAGATTGCCTTGTTGAACTCCATCTCAACCAAATACCACCACGCTTCACTGTTACATCATTTGTAAACCATAAGCTACACAATGGGGTGAGGGGACATTCCATGCATCTAATTTGCTTCCAGACAGCAGTTTAAAAAATCAGAAAAGTCCAGCGAAAACAATCCAGCCAACCAACCAACAAGCCCATCATACCTTAACACACTGACAGAACTGAAGCGCAGCTGCCACCACTACTTCCTTTTGTAAAGTCATTTTATGGACAGTCCAGTATTCCAAACTGAACTCCTGGTGCTTTCTCAAATGCACTCTTGGTGCCTGAAGAAGCACCAAAGCTCTATTCAAAACACAGTTAGCCACCCACT